GGAAGAAGCTCCAAGAGGAGGAAGCCAGTATGAGAAAAAAAGCCCCTGAGTTTCAGGAGTTGCGGCCACCGCCCCCACGACAGCAACCGCCTTCACAGCCACCAGGACGGTCACAGCCCCCGCCACAGCCCAGCCAACAAAATGCCCAAGGCCCACTTCCTCCGTGCACCTTCAAGCAAGTTCTACCAGATTCCCAAAGACCAGGTAGCCAGCATGGCTCAGAAGAGACACAACCGACCAGCGAGCAAGCCAACTGCTGTAGAGACCAAGGGCAAGAAGTGAAGAGAATCCCTCCAGACCCAGGTACACCAGGTATCTGGGACATGGGAAGGGGTGAGGAGACAGCACCATGCTCCCCTCAAGCCCAGAACCCACACTGCACCCCCTTCTCTGACTCTTGCCGGTACCTCGGCCTTGGCTTAGGGGTCTCTCCCTCTGGGTGGGTTTGCGCTAGCCCAAGGCTGCAAAGAAGTCAGCCAACCTCTGCACAGGGTGAATGAGAGGGGGTCTGCTCTCCCTCCAGGCTGAGGGTGAAAGTGTGGGCGAGGAGGCTTATCAACACGTCTCAGACGCAGGGCAGCTTCTTAGTGGAGACTTTTCCAAGTGGGCTCAGTCTGTGGCCTGGCCCAGGAGGGGGCTGCTGCTCAAACACCCACCCCACCCCGACACATCAGAGACCAGTGCTGCAGGGGTCCATTCAGAAATGGTCAGAGGAGTAACACGTGTTGTTTCCTCAGCAGGTTTCCCGAACACGCACCAGCCGAGCCCAAACAAGTACTCGCGACTCACGGTGAGACAGCGTGGACGCCGGAGACCGCAGCTGTGTCGAGCGGGTGCTAGTGGGGTGCCAGGGCCACTTCCGGGCCCGGGGTGGGGCTGCAGTTATTTCATCCCTTCTGGATGGTCTGTCCTTCCTTCCTTGTTCCCCCCAACAATATCTAGGGCAGGCCTGCTTACTAAGCACGAGTGGAGGGGTTCACAGTCTTGGAGAGCGAGTCAGGTGCCAAAGCAGCAAAATAAAGGGGCTGTTGGAAGTGCAGGTTGGGGTAAAGGCAACTGGGGTTCAGGAGGACAGCAAGACCCGAAGTGATGCCAGGGGCCTGTCAGGCTCGCCACGCCCTGATTTATTTTCATCTCTGAGCCGCATCGGCGTCCTCGTGAGACTCCTGCCTCCCCACTGGTGGTGTCACGAGGACTGAAGGTGGCAGTGTAAGTCCTGTCACCAAAGCTTAGGCAGCGCCTGGCTCACTGCAGGCCAGCAACGCAGGAGGGAGGTTCTCCTTTTTTTTTTTTTTAAAGGAGGGAGATGCTTGAAGACATGACACACACCTGTAGGAACTGTGGAGCGGTTTCTGGCAGGGGCAAAGGAGAAGAGGCCCGAGTGGGTGCTCTGAGGAGCCCCAGGATGCTTTCGCTTTAGCCCCTCTGACCGGGGAGGGTTTAAGAGGGTTCCTGCGGCCGGAAACTGCTGACTAATCTGTTGTGCCTCTGGTCTCTACCTCCTCTCAGTCCACGAATTACACACAGCAATGGTGACGCTGGGAGCCCAAGACCACTGGCAATCAGCAGACTCCAACGTGCCGCCTTGCCACCTCCCCACCCAGCAACATCCACCCCGGGCACCCACTCTGAACCACTCCAGGAGAGGGGTAGTGGGAATAAAATGTGACTCCTTCCTGGAGAGAATGAGAAACCGGTGGGCTTTGTGAGACTGGGAAGAGGGAAGGGGACAGCAGCACCCAAAGGGGATGGAGGGGGCGGGGGAAGTGGAAGGCGACTCCATCCTCCCCTAGGCAAAGTCAGTGGGAGAAGTTGGCCTTGACCCCACCCACCCAAGTCTAGGGCCCACTGCTGACCGCTAGGTGGTAATGTTAGGCCCAGGGTGGAACGGGCCTTCCCCTCCCTGATGCTCACTGACACAGCTGGGAAGGGGCATCACTCCAGAGCAGGCCTGGCACCGTCTGCCCCCAACACGGCAACACCGCCTGGACCGGAATGAAGGGAGCCAGGGTGGAAACAGCTCAGAGGAAAAGGGGTGATAGCCTCAGGCACAGGGCACTTGACTCCCTGGGAAGGTGCAGGCAAGCTCCCAGGCCTCTCCTTTCCTGGGTCTCAGGCTTTTCACTTAGCAGAGACAGTCAAAGGCTCCAAATCCTGCTCACCATTTCTGGAAGGTGACACTAGGACCTCCCAGGCCTGCCCCTCTCTTACCCAGCAATGCCAAGAAGAGTGCCTGGTCCTTTCATTGTTTGGCCTTGGGTCAGCCTGAGGGAGCCCCTCATGGCAGGGGCTTCCTGAGTTGAGCAAGTGGGGGAGGTTGTCGGAGACTCATGGATTATTGGGGGACAGAACAGGGAGGGTCTCAAAGTGGGAGCGGTGTCCGTGAGCGTAGATTTCTAGAAAAGGGGGTAAAAGGGGAGAAAAGGGGAGCGGGTGCCAGGAAGACATGGGAATGGGAGTTGGGTGCAAGTCTTCCTGCTCTGCCTTCAGCAGGTTTATTTTATGCCTTTCAAGCAGGCAGAGGGATGACATTAGCATATGAAATGAGCTGAGATCACCATCACCTTTTTTCTAAGAATAGTCTGGGGTCGTTTTAACTTTTAATTGAGATTATAACATTTTTAAAATCAATCTATCAAGGTTAAAACAGGCACATAGATTCACAAAGTTTAAGACTAATATTACGATATTTACCACAGTGAAGATTAACCAAAATAAAGTCCCTTAAACCTTATCTATTTTATTTTCACAGAGACATCTTAGGGGGTAAAGTGAGGGCAGGAAGAGGAAATTTCTTGTAAATCAAATTACCATAAAGTTCTTTGAAAATTTGTTAGAAAGTTTAAGTGAGTTTCCTTGAAGTCTACATGGTAGAAAACCTGATTAGCTCTGAAAAGGTGACTTGGGTGAATTTCCATATCTAAAAACTAGATAGTAGAAAGCTAGAGTGGTTATTTAGAAACTGAATAGAAGGCTATGTGAGATAGTAGAGTGATAAGATTTGGATTTTCCTCTGTCTGGCAGTAAGAGAGACTGTAGTAACAGCCATTTGCTTTTATTCATCAGCCAGTTGTTTAATGACTTTTGACTTCAAGAGGAATTTCTCACCCTACTGCAGCGCTTGCTTGTCAGGGCCAGGTAGCGCCTTATGAGGCTGAGGCAATCCAATTGTAAGCTGAAGGTTGTTTAGAATATTTTGATATTACGATTATACAGAAAAGGGAGTTCATAACATAAGTTAGCGTGGAAAGTCTGATTTTTCAGAGCATTTCCCCTCCATCCATATCTTGTCTGTCGACAGAGGTTGCATAGCTTGTGTCAGAAGGTTATTCTTTGGGGGGAAGTCTTAAAATTGGAGGGGATGTTAGAGACGCACAAAGAAGCCAGAAAAGCCGGACAAGGGCCTAGGAAAGACCTTGATGCCCACTTAGACATTAAGAAATGGGCAGTGGGGGCTCCCTGATGGCACAAGGATTAAAGGCTCAGCACTTTCAAGCTACCTCTAGCCACCGCAGCTGACCCACATGGCACAGCAGACCTCTCCTGTCTCCCTTCTGCTCCCCTCAGCAGTGTATTTCAGTAAATGCACCTGTTCTGCTCCCCACTCTGTCTCTGGTGAGTCCTCTCACAGGCCTCCCTTTGGCCTATGCCCAGTTCTCATATGCATAAATAAGTCTTTAAGCCAGCTCCCTCCCCAATCTCAGGAGACACTCTTTTCTTTATTGTTACACATAGTTTATTGTATACAGACCAGTCCTTTATACCTGGGGCCTACTTTCAGCAGAAATTCCAGCCTGGCCTCTGTGCTCCGGCCAGCACCTCCTGGCTCCTGTTATCTAGGCATAAATGCCTTCCTTCCCCTCTTTCCTTAGCCAGCTGTCACCATTTCCATGCTACCTACCACCTAAGCTTATCTTTGTACTAGAGTCATTCATTCAAGCCACAGTCACCTTTCATGGGCAAACAGTGTTTCCTGCTTGGCTAAACAAAATCTCCTCTGCCTGGAGCCCAGAGGGAAGCAGCAGGTACCTGAGGCTTAGCTTCATCTGGGTGGCAGCAAAGAAGAAAATGTCTAGACCACCACTACTGACATGCTCCTCCCCATTGCCAGTGCCCTGAGGCCTTGGGGTGCGGAGGCAGCCTGGTACTAAGCTGGGAAACAGAGAGTCTGGTGGCTTGGCTGGATACCGAAGCTTCCTCTTGGCAGGTTTTCCTGGGAGACCTGCCAATGCCCATCACATGCCCCAGGGTGTGGGCTTACCCCAGGCAGATGCCCTTCAAATGTCTCACTTTGTCTCTTTGAGATGCAGGCCCTGGTGCCTCACAGCGCTTCCCTACTACTTTGGCTCCTGCTGGGAAGAGAATGATAAAAATGTTTGATGGAATAGACAGGTTCTGGCTGGAGGACACATCTATTTTCTTAGGAGCCAGAGCAGTCTAACTAGAATGGATGCAGAGCCCAAGGGTCTTGGCCAATCCTGCTGATGGGGACTGGTGGGTGACAAGTTTCCAGGAGAGGAGCAGACAGTCACCATCACTAGGTCATATAACCAAGCAGGGAGGCACCAGAAAGCATCTCTGTGATCCGTAAGCGCCCCTAGAGATTAGAGATGACCCTGGATAGCCCCCATGTGGTTTAAATCAAAAGTAGGCCTCCCTGGTGGTACAAGGGATTACGTCTCAGCACTATCAAACTATTGCCAGCCACTGTGGCCTGAGTTTGATCCCTGGCCAGGGGCCTGACCCACATGGCACAGCAGACCTCTCCTGTCTCCCCTTCCCCTCCCCTCAGCAGTGTATTTCAGTAGATCCACCTGTTCTGTTCCCCACTCTGTCTGGTAAATCCTCCAGTGAATCCACACCTCTGCCCCATACCCCAGCTCTCATACAACCAAGCAGGGTTTTTAAAGTTTATTTTTAATCTTAAAAAAAAAAAATCAAAAGTAAGCCTCTCTTCAGACTCAGGCAGGAGGAAGGCCAGCCCTGGAAGAAATGGGCGACCAAGGAGCTCAGCACAGGAAAGGCCAGGGGCCACCCTGGGACTCAAGGCAGCTCCCATAAACATCAGGCCAGACTTTCCTCAAGACAGGGCCATGGGCTACCAGACGCACATCTCAACCTCTGGGGAGTCAGAGGATATTAAGTGTGAGGGTGCGAGTATGTGTGTGAAGTTAGCTTCTACAGAACTAGAGGAAATGCAGTGAGGGTGAGATAAAGGTCTTTTCCTCTGGCAAAGTCACTATAATCCTTTCTTGGTCACAGACACATGGGCAACATGGACCAGGTTGGCAGGTACCTGGAGCTCGGGGACAGCAGACAGGTCAAAGTTGAGAAGACAGTGAGTGGGGCAGTGACCTGTTTTCCCGGCAGTCCAGATATTCAATATTCTGGAAAACCTTCTGCTCCGACTCGCTCAGGTAGGAGTAGGTCAGGGTGCCCCTGGAGAGGAAGCAGTCTTGGCCATTGTGTCCAGAAGAGGAAGTCTGCTATCTGAAAAGGTCGGCCCCCTACCCAGCTCCCCTTCTTCTGCCTCCCACTGTGTCAAGGCACTGGGGAACACCGCCCCACTGTGTCCCAGAGGCTGACTGTCAAACCCACAGCGTGGCAGCGAGGTGGGGCCTAGAGAAGGGGCCACACCCGCGACTCTTAAGCGCCCATAGATTCCTGGGTCAGCTGGATGAGTCTTGTCCCATGAGGTGCAGCCAAGGTGAGAGTGGAGAGGGTATTTAAGGGCTATGAACCCCAACTTACTGGATTTGTAAAAGCACATGGTGGACTTTGATCTTCAGGAACTTACAGATTTTACTGAGAAAGAGAACACAAGACCATGTTTTACACCAGACAGCCCAAAGAAGTCTTTGGGGAGACTGTAGGTGCCCTTGCCTCTGGGCTCCTTCACTTCTGGGGTCCCCACATGCCACTCCTACCCCTTCCCTCTCCCTCTAGGTAAGCATGTCACCCTTGTGCAGTATCACTGCTCTACCCCCACCCCTCTCCTGGCCTGGCCCAGACACCTGTTGGGCTCTTCTCTCAGATGAAAACAAGACATTCTTCCTCAGAGATCAGGCTAAAGAGTCGAAGGTCATATATGGTTAGGATTAACTCAAAGCCAGCCTGTTTTTCATTCCAATCTAGGTCCAGACGGGCCCCTGAACCGTTGCACAATGCAGTCTTGGTGCTGGGAGTGCTGGCCAAATGATGGCTGCAGGGTTCACTAAGCAATCCGGGAATTCAGCGTTTAAAGCTGGTCTTCCAACCCAGGAAAAGAGGCGAAGGGAGATGACAGCAAGGGGTACTCACTACGTGCTTTCATCCTGGATCGTGTTGGCTACTGTGTAAGGTATCTGTCAACCAAACAGACAAGGGGAGGCCCTGACCCCAGGTGCACCTACCCTGCCCTCGACCCTCCTCCAAATACATCACATGCCTGTGGGCAGGGCTGGCCAGGGAGTGTCACCTGTTTACTGGTCAAAGGGCCGATGTGGAGGTGGCTGCTCTTGGAAAGCTGCCCCACCACGTGGGACAGGTGCAGGACCTCAAGGGTCAGCTGGGTCACGGTGATGGGGTAGTAGTTGTTATTGGAGACATTCAAGATACTCTAAAGATGAGGAAAAGAAAAGGAGGGGATGAGGGTGGCCATCCTTAGGAAGGACTCAAAGAGGGCCTCCCCGGTGGCACAGGAGTTAAGTCTTAGCCCTATCAAGCTACTTGCCAGCCACGTGGCATAAGTTTGATCCTGGCCAGGGAGTGACCCACATGGCGTAGCAGACCTCTCCTGTCTCCCCCACTGCTCTCCTTAGTCATGTATTTCAGTAAAGCTGCCTTTTCTGCCCTCCACTCTGATTCTGATGAGTCCTCTCACCCCTGCATCTCTGGCCTGCACCTCAGTTCTTATTTGCATAAATAAGTAAATCTTGAAAAAAAGAAAAAGGAGTCCAACAGTTACACCCCTTCCCCCCGCCTTATCTAACCACTTGATACAGGCCAGCGGGCCAGTGTCAATGTCAGGAGCCTCTCAGAGGCTTAGCAGTAAGGGTTGCCTTAACCAAGACATCAAGCTGACTCAGACCAGTCTGAGTGCATGGTTCCTTTCTGCTAAGACCTGCCCCCAACATCCTCTGATTTTTCTTCTATGGTCCTAAACTGACCTCTTACTATATAGGGCCCGCACCCTGTACAATCTGTCATGGGGCCCAGGGTTACCAGTGACCCCCCCTCTTCCAGGTTTTTGACACTCTCTGGGTGCCGTAAGATCCCTGGCTACCCATTTACAACACTGGATAAAGGCTATGGAGGCGTGTGGCTGGAAGGTGGGGTTCAGGGCCTAGTGCACCCACTCACCGTTATATTGAGGTAGATGTTGGCCTCGTCAAAGGCCACTGTGGAGGAGTTGAGGCCCGCAGAGAACAGAGCGATGGAGTGAGGAAACAGGAAAAAGCTGAGGAGGGTGGTGGTCGCCAGGCAGATAAGCACTGCTAGGAACACGGAGAGCTTCCTGTGGAAAAGGGAGCAGGCAGCAGGGCTAAGTCTGAAGACTAAGGAAACTTGGATGAAGATGTGTGTGTGTGTGTGTGTGTGTGTGTGTGTACACATTCCTCTCATACACAAGATTCTTCTGCACCCACCTCACAGCAGAGTATCTGGCTCCCCACATGTGGAAGGCCAGCCTGGGCTCAGATGTGGCCCAGAGCTGATGGGAGCACAGGACTGGGAAGCAGACAGCCTGCTTCCACTCCCACTTCTCTGTTCCCACTGACCCAGTATCTCTCTGAGCAACCCCACATAACTTCTCTAAACTTCAGTTTCTTTGTCTGTGAAACGTAGACAAATGATATCCATCTCATAGCATCTGGTATAGGCTAACACACTAACCTCAGGTCTTGGCACATTGAAAAAGCTCAACAAATGCTATTATTACTGGAAGAGAAGAATTCCACAAGAAGTGAGAGCTCTGAATTTCCATATTTAGAACAGGAGATTATCTGTTCATCTAATTCAAAACTGAGATACACATTAATGAGACAGTCCTTTGCTAGTATTTATCAAGGGCACTGCCAGATTCAGATTCTGATGCAGGGGTAGTGGGTGGGGCACTGGTGGTGGCCCCCAGACCACACACACAGCTGAGTGGAAAGAGCTGAGGAGTTCATGTCAAATGGACCCAAATGACAAATAGGGTTACTTCCTCCCCCAACCCCTCACTCCCAGAGAAATTCAGGACTGCCTCCAGCTGGGAAGTGTCTCAGAACAGCAAGTGGCTTTTTCCTTTTCTTCCCAGAAGAGAAGAAGCAGGTCTGAATTGCCATGGCAAGGGAAGCTCTCTTAGGAACAACAACTTCCCTGAATCAACTGCATCCATGGCTGTCCTCCCAGAAGGCCTGTAGTCAAGAGGTCCTCTGTCCTCAAAAGGGAGCCATGCTTTTCGGAAGCAGTGATGCATGGGGAGGGTGCCAGGGGCCTTGGGTGGCATCTGCTGTGCTCCAGGCTGCTTAAACCAGATAGTCCATGGAAACAGGAAGCTAATAATACATTTGAGCATGTATAGGCTCAGGCTGCCGAGGGGAAGCCGCTGTAGAAAATCGGGGGTGCGTAGCAAGATGGGGAGGCAAAGAGGAACAACTCTCAAAGGTGATGGCTGTGGAACTGTAGCTGGAAGAGGGACTTACGTGTGCCTGGGCTTCAGCCTTTGGTCCCCATAGGGGATGAGGGCTACCAGCTGCTTCTCTAGCTCTGTAGAGAGAAAGTGGGCCAGGGTGAGGGCCAACACCTTTCCATGACACACATTTTCCACCTCCCAGAATCAGCCCCCTCCACAGAGTGGGGACACAGCAGAACTGCAGCAGCACAGAGCTGTGTTACTGAAGTTGGCAGTTCAGCGTTGCCATTTCTAGAGTAGAAGTGAGATTTTTGTTAATAGTTGTGAAAACCCCTGCAAGTCACCAGCAAATCAGAGATGCCAGATATTTTGAGAGGTCATTTGTAACTTCTTGAATTTTTTTTATATCCAAAAGGGCAGGTTTATTATAAAAAAAAGGGAGAGAAGAATAAAGGACATCTGCATAGTCACATGTGGGCAGAAAGAGCTGACCCCAAAAGGGACAGGCTTGATAAAAGAGAGGCCTACATGGTCGCAGGCAGGTGGCCGTGGAAGGGGCTGCCTCAGCCCCTCTGCAAAAGGAGGTCAGTGAAGTACCTGCACAGGCACAGCCGGCAGGAGGGCTGCTTGCAAGGGAGAAGGATGGAGAAGACAACTGCTACATAGGCGCAGGTAGGCAGGAGGGCTGCTGCCAACTTCCTGAATCTTTAGGCGGTGTATTCAAGGGAACAGAGAGGTTGGAAAGTCCTCGAGGCTGGCTATTACCTACCCTGGGGCAGGAGGGGTTCTCCTTAGCGAGTCTGGGGAGACTCATCCTTGGCCTGGCTGACACGGGAAGACCCAACTCCACTCAGGGAGGTGAAGAGGGGCCTGGCCAGCTGACTGTTGAGAGCTTTTCCAGGATTCCAGGCTATTTCCAGAATCTTTGATCACTCACCTTGAGGGATCTCCCCAGTGCCCTGGCAGGTGGGACAAGTCACAAAGTTGGCCCCCGTAGCCCCTTCGCAAGGCACACGGGAACAGAAGGACTGCTGACCACCGATGCTGAGGTAGCCCGTGACCTTGCGGCCAACGGCTGGACCAGGAGGCAGGATCGGCTTGTTCTCATCTTCCCGAGAGCTCATCGTTCAGAGGGGGTTATTACTAATGAGACAGAACGAAAGTTCCGTGGTTTTACATCCTCAAGATTGGCAAAAAGCCCCATCACAACAGCCACAAGCTCAAACCTCAGGAAGCTGGGGTGGGGAAGAGGAAGTCACAGGACTCTGAGCAAAGTTCTTTGCCCCTTCATGCCTTTCATTATCTTGGGAGAGCTCAACCTGCCTACAAGAAGGGAAAACAGAAAAATAAGTCATGAAGAAAGTTCCAGAAGTGAATTGCTGATCACATTATTTTTTCTAGGAAAATTGCTGAATTTTTGCTCATGGAGGAAGTTGGATTGAGCTGGGGGGAGAGGAGAAGGTGGGGACAGCAGCCCTGAATCCTTCATCCTTTGTCACAAGATGATCCTGGAGGTCTCTAGAGCTCCAGTGTGGAAGTGACCTTTCAGCCTGGTTGTGAAAGGTAAGCTTCCATCCTCCAGCTGGGGAAGGTGCTGGTTTAAGAGGAAGGTGGTGATTCTTTGAAACGAGAAAGAAGTGGCAGCCAAGCAACCTAAACCAGTCCTGGAAGGGACATGTGAATCTCTCCAATGCTTTGAGGGGTGAAGGGTAGGAAAGGAACGCCTGGGGAGGCTTGTGGCAATGATAAGGCTGTCATTCATTAGGAAAGCTCGAGGCCAAAGATCCAGATTCTTTCCAAAAGATTGAACACAGAATGAGGTGGGCAAGATGAGAGTACTCACACCTCCCTGGAAGCCTCACCTGATTCAAATCTGGGATCCGAGGCTCCTGTCAGCTGCAGAAGGGGGCGGTTTCTGGAGCTCTCTCTGAGAAGGGCCTCTAGTGTTTAGTGGCCCCAGGGGCCACGGTAGGGGTTTCCTTAGCAACCGGCCCTTCTGCAGAGACCTGTAGGAGCGAAAGCGTTGGAGCGAGAGCCAAACAATTTCGCATCCAGATCCCTGGCTCCACTAAGGGTCAGGTGGTAGGCGCGGGCTGAGGCTGGGACTGGACTGAAGATTTCAAGCCCCACCGGACACCCCCAGAGACCGTTAGTCGAACATAGTACACGCGAGTACCTGTTAGCTAGGCTGGAAGGGTCGCATGCTTTCCAAAGAGAAAGAGGGAAGATGAGGGCCCAGGGAGTGTCTTACCTGGGCGACCGAATCGCCAGAAACGGTCGCATGACAAGTAGGAAGTGCAGGGAGCTGGTGGCGGGCCCCAAGCTTTGACAGCAGGTCTCGGAAAGCCCCGCTGCAGCTGCTCCAGGCCCGCCCCCTCCCTCCGAGCCCGCCCCCTCCCTCCGGGCCCGCCCCCTCCCTCCGGGCCCGCCCCCTCCAACACGGCCTGGGAAGTTCTAGCCTATTCAAAGGACACCCGGGGCTCGACGCTGCTTCCACAAGGACCAAGCTGTCCAGGAAGGAGTTTCAAAGAACCTTTATTTCACCATTCTTTAAGTGGTTATATACAAGGGCAGCGGGGCCGACGCCGGACTCAAAGGATCCTCCTGGACCCTACCATACAACTCAGACGCTCGCGAGAGGTCCCCATGGCAATCAACCCAGTCAATTACACATACCCTGCTGCTCAGCCTCCACCCAGAAGCCCGGATAAAAACTTTTAAAATAAAGAACAGCCTGGTCGGCTTATTGAATCCTGGCTTATTTAATAGTATTCAAGCATTATACTGTAAATAAACATCATTATGGCTAATGATTAATATCACCATTTATTATAAATACCAACCAGGTTAAATAATACTATTTTACCCCTCTGGGTTGGGGGTCAAATTCCTGTTTTTCTGGAAGTCATTTTCATGAATAAATCTTTAGCGTTATTTATTACCTCGTCCTTATCCGTTGTACCAAGACTCCCATGGAGAAAGCCATTGCGGCCCTGACCCTCTGGAAGCAATCTCTTTCCCACTCATCCTGGGGTTAACCCAAAACTTCTATAGCAAGTTTGTTCCCACTCAGGTCTTGAGAAACACTAGCCTCTTCTTCCTGTTCTGGGCTCTCTGTGCTCAGGCCTCTGAACAAATTTTGAACATTCAAGAAGTCATCAGAACTTCTTATGCCTCACACACTCATCTGCCCACCCTCAGAACTTACTGAGATTAACTAAGAGCCTGTCTTTCACTTTGCACTTGTTTCCATTCCTCCCACTCTAATGTAAATAAGATCTAACATTAGCAAAACATTAACAAAAAATGTAACTTAAATTTCTTTTTCTTTTAAATTAAGGACTTTCTTTCCTTTTCTATAGGATTAACAAAATACTTCATACTACCTATCTAGGTTTCTCCCCCTTAAATGAAAGAAGAATATGCAAAATGCTACTGGATGCTGAAGTACCGGTGGGCAGACTGCCCCACCTCCCTCCACTGAGGTGCAGATACCCAGAAGCTGATGTTCTTCAATACATTAGTGGGGTTCTCAGAAAACTATGGTGGGGATTACTAAATCTTGCAGGACCTTTTCCTTGGAAAGGAAGAGTAGACCAATCCTCTCATGCTCTGGGTGTCACTTCAGTACCAGGCAGTACGAAGCTTAGGGGATAGGTTAGAGAAGTGAGAATCACTTTAAAAAACAACTCCTAGGGTTAATTTCTTTTAAAAACTGACAACAGATATCCCCATAGAAACATCAACATTAATCAAAGAAAAATACTCAACTTCAGTACTAGCAGAAAGAAAAATGGTTCTACAGAAGTTATACTCTTCAATGCACTAAAACGGAAAACGAAATTTTACCCAAATCAGTTGAAAATCTTCCTACTATTCATCCAATGTCTACAGTGAAAATTTAAGTTCTGGTCTTTGATTTGCTCCAAAAAACACTGTGACGCAGGCACTGTCTCGATAATTTAACAATGGGCTCTATGTAGATTCAAGTTAAAAATAATCAAGGGCTTCTACCCCACACCCCACCGACAGAATAAAGATAATCTGTGAGCAGCAGGCAAAGTCATTTAATACAAGGTCACTCCTCAGTAGCGGTGGCTGTACCAGTCGTTGTTGCTGATGTGGAGCAGCTCCGTCACCACATGAATGATGTGGTAATTGTGCTTCTTCAGCAGCCGCAGGTTCAGCTGCCTGTCGCAGAATCCCATTTCAAAGAGATGGGCCATCAAGGCTGCTGTCTTTTCTTCAGAAACTACTGGCTGTTGAGAGTCAAGAAACACAGGACATTTTTTTGTGTATATATACTTTAATATTTATTTATTTATAACTAGAAGAACTGGGTCCTGGGTCAGAGGTACGGGAGTGAGAGGATTCACAAGAGACAAGAGTGGGAAGCAGAACAGGTGGATCTATTGAAATACACTGCTGAGGGGAGCAGCTGGGGAGACGGGAGTCATGTGGTTCAGCTCCCTGGCCAGGGACTGAACTCAGGCTGCAGCAGCCTCTGACAGCTTCAGTGGCTGACAGCTAAGAGTCAGCCCCTTGTACAACCAGGGAGGCCCCTCTTCTAGGCCACCAGAGAGGCCTGTGCTGAAATGGACTGCTGAGGAGAGTGGAAAAGACCACCTCAAACCTTTCAATGTCTTTACCCTCTAGCCTTAAAAATAAAATCCAAACCCCTTCACGCAGCACCCACATACATAGTTGTTTTTTCTTATTCTTCTGACACCACATTCACCTTCCAGGTTGCATTTCCAAATCTTTTCACTGAGTCCTTTTACTGGCTATTCTGTCTACAACACGCTTTGTCTCCTTTTCTAGTGAACATTTATTTTGTCCTTTAGGACTCAGTTTTGACATTATCTACCGGGAAGTCTTCCTTGGCCCCACTTGGGGCCCATGCCACGCTGACTTGACCTGAGAACATCAGTGCAGTCTCATTTCCTATACTGTAAATGTCTTTCTACTTCATTTGTTCCCAGAGTCTTTGGATAGGAACCAGTGTCTTATTTTATACATAGTAGATACTCTCTACAATGTCACGCTACTCTCCAACACAGAAGCCATCATTTCACTGGTAACTTGGTTTTGGTTCAGAAAAATAAAACACACTGACCTGTGCAGTGACGGGCGGCCCAGCAAACAGGGCCTTGTACGCAGAGGTGGCGACAGACAAAGCCCCCTTCACCAGCCCTCCAGCAATGCTGCTCCCGTGATGGTGCTGCCTGCAGAGAGAAACCAAATTATCTCCCCAAATACACATATACCCTCTTCTTACAAGGCAATCTCGGCGCTAACTGTTGAAAGAAAATGAGATTTTCTTAGGGGAAAAAGATTACACGTAAAAAGAGAAATGTGACCATTTTCTTATCAGTTTTACAACTGCAGATCTTGGTTTGTAACAGCAGGCCTACTGCTGTTAAGAACTGGGCACTGTAGAAAACACACCAGCTGATGAGCAAGCCACAGTTTTCAGTCCTCGCTGAAAACCAATACTGGCAATCCGCTTGCTGATCTTCAAAGCAAACCTCCCAAAAGAAATGTTGACTGGCTGCTGTAGGGAGGGGCCACCTTGACACTGCTCTGAGGTGACCTGGAGCAGAGAAGCAGGCGTGTCTAAGAGGCACACTGGGCTTGACCTTTCTGCCTTCTCCTCTACACTGAGGGTGAGTCAAATTTGAGGGTACTTAATTCTGGTCTGGAATGTGAGCACTTTTAAACATCAACATTAGCTCTCAGTGCAGTGTTGCTCAGTCTTGGGAGATATAAGGACAAGTAGGAACGATGGCTCCCCTCGTCTGCTCTCAGGTGGCACACACTCTGAGAGGCTTTCTTAAGCAGAAGCAACACTAGGATATCCACCTGCTTCTGAAGAAGAGGCTGCACAAGGTCCAGTTACCTTGAGTGATCATAGCTCTTCTGTCTGTTGTTTACAAGTCCTGATGAGCCTCTGGGCTCTAAAAGCAAAAGAGCTATTGGTTAGAAGCAGCATCCACACATGCCTCATGTTTTCCTAAGCCACAGCACGGCCACTTCAAGGCAGCTGGTAATCTGGCCATCGGCTTATTTATTTAAAGGTATTTGGGAAATTCTGCAGGTGATTTTACTGATAAGGATAAACTGTCCAGAATATAATGCAAGAAATGAGAAAAAGTAGTTCTCTATCCTATCACACAGGCTCATTAGTTCCCAGGTACTTTTTAAGTTCTGCTCTTTAAAGAGGGGTGGGCAATGACCTTGAGGGTCTTACAACTTCAAGATAAGCTTCTTACTTTGTAGATAAGGAAACAGACCTACTTGGTGACCTGCTGTAAGGTCACACAGTGAGGAAAGAAGGAGCTGGGGATGGAATCTAGACAGGTCTGGCTACCAGTTCTCTCCACTTGGAGAGATCTCTTTTAATAAATTTCAAGCTAGTGAACAGGAAAAAAAGGAGTAGAAGGGAGGAATACTGAAAGAATGAAAGAACAAGTTTCTAAAAACTGCCAGAAATCTTGAATGCAGAGGACCTGTACCTAATGTCCACTAGAAAGGGGCACAGAAACAGAAACAAAGCTCTGACTGGTCATTACCTCCTCTGATCTGATCGGGGACTGAAGAAACTTCTGGTATGGTAACTGGTAAGTCCACTCCTGGGGAACCATGATGCTGCGCACGAGGAGGACTCCTTTCAGAAAAACACAGTGTGACAGTCAGCTGCAGAGGGCCCGTGGTGGTGCAGAGAAACAGTGAACACCGCACAGCAGTGCCCTGTTCTCCATGGACACGTTACATTTTTGCTTCAGATCACACGTCTCATACGTCTCCTTTCAGGGACAGGTGGGAAGTGCTCCTGCCACTTCTGATTACCCTCTTCAGTCCCAAGTCAGGGTGGAAAGACCAGCTTCAGCCTGGTTTCTTTCCCCCAACATCAAGAAGTGCTATTAAAGGGCTATGTCTACCTCCCTGGAGAATGGCTTATAGTCAAGAAGCCACAATGAGAAAGCGAAGTTTCAACAGAAAATTAGAAGTAATTTCCATGTACGTTTTAGTCCAGGCAGACCTTGAAGACACTGTAGATTCTGTTTCTGACCACTGCAATCAAGTTAATACTACAATGAAACAAGAGATATAAACTTTCTGGTTTCTTGGTGATGTTAAGTTATGTTTATACTACGCCAAGTCTATTTAATGTGTATTATCATTGTCTAAAAAGTACGTACCCTAATAAAAATACCTTACGGCTAAAAAATTGCTAACCATCTGTTACATGAACTGTTGGAAAAATGGCACTGAATTGCTTGATGCAGCATTGCTACAAATCTTCAACGTGTGGAAGGCACAGTATCTGCAGAGCACGATAAACGTGGTATGCCTGTGCATCTCTTTCCATCACACCCTGAGCTGACTGTGTTTGAGTTAATATGAGGTATTGCTGCCTTTGCCCTTGAGTCAGTAATACAGGCAAGGAAGATCTGGGGATGTTTATGCTTAAAACTCAACAATCAAAACATAGAAAGAGTATATGCAGATAATTAAGACTAGCTAAAATAAGTATTTCCTTAAATCCAGAACCCATGAATACTGGGAAGTACAATTTTTACTCATTCCTCTAAATTCAGACTTTACCATGGGAAACAGTGTCTTCCCATGCTGACAAAAAGCAAGTTTTGAGATCAAGTTGTTCCTCTCACTCTTTATTCCACCTGTGAACAGCCCAGCTGAAGGGGGTAGAGATGGTACCTGAGCAGCCGTGGCGGAGGCCCTACCACCTCTGGGGTCAGGGGCACTGTGTCCAGAGTCTGTGAGGTTGTGAGGATGTCATTGATGCTGTGCTCCTGTGCTTGGCTTTCCTTTCCAGGGGAGCTCTCCCCAGCCTCAACTGGTTCTTGCCCAGTCTCAACCACAGGCTCGCCCTCAGCCCCTCGCTCCAGGCCTGGCTGGGAGAGGGCAGAGCTGTACATGGAGTCCCCCAGGGGGCGGCTGGTGTCAAAGCACTCCGGCAAGATGATGATGTAATCCTCAGAAGAAGCAGAGGACTGACTCTGAACTTCATCTTTGAGCTCATCTTCCTCTTCCGTGATTGCTTCCTCTTCAGCAATATGGACAATTTCCTCCCTCTCATCTTCAAGTGGTCCTTCTTCAGGCAAGGAAAATCTCACTACAAGATGAAAGCAACCAGTTTTGAGGTATAAGTGAAAAGAGGCCCCTGGTGCCACCCTTAGTTTGAAGGATTTGTAGGTCATGAACTTGAATTATGAAAGCAAGAGAGGAGGGAAGAACCAGAGAGAAGGACTGTTCTTGGAACCACAGTCATGGCCATATGCTAAGCTGGAAGTCCATGCAAAAAGCATGTAACTAAGTGCACAAAAACAAGGCAGGTAGAATCATCCAGATTTCGAGAATCTTAGAACAAGGAGGCCCCATCCCTTCTCTTCTTCATGCAATGGCTAATACACTCAGGTAAGGTTCAAATCACAACTGGCATTAGCTACCAGTGCTTTAAAAAGGGAACATGTTAGGTGTGAGAACTTGCATGACTGCAGCCAGCCTACTTTCCTTTTCTTCTTTACAAAGAAATGCAAAGTCACGGTAAGAAATGGGCAAAATGTCACTGAAGGGAAGAAAAGAAAACATACAATGCGCTTAAATTCTATCAGAGATAACTAATGTGAACGTTTTTGTCTCTGTTAGAAAGACACATGTGTTTTGTCATACTTAGATAAGTGCATAACCAAAGAGTTGAAGAATTTACACCAAAACGTTCACATTAGTAGAGGTCAAATTTCGTTATAATAAATACAGATTTTCCTGTATTTTGAGGGACTGAATTTGAGTTTTTTTGATAGTTCTTGAAATACATAGGACTGGTTATACTTTTTGCTATCTAGAGATTTGTAACAGCAGAATTTAACCCTGAGGAACTTAATATGGTTCTCCTGCTTGTGCCCACTACTTCCCTAGCAGAGGTCTCTGCTGAGGGCTGCTGTCAACTTACAAGAAGAGTCCTTACTGCAGAATCCAGAGAGTACCACTGGCTGCTGTTCTTCTGTGGCATGCGGCTGTAATTCTGCCCCTGGGGAAAGTGGTGAGTGAGTTATGGGGGTTGCTTTGCTCCCGAAGTTATAATTAAAATGGTCAGGTAGCGTAGGTAGAACCTAAAGGAACCACCATAGCCAGAATTCCAATTAAGCTCACCCTACCTCTACGCTCAGTGAGAAGAGCGCTTCTACCCACTCAGGTCTGACAGTCAACAATGCAGGGAGCATGCCCCTAGGTGGGGGAGATGAAGGACACTCACTGTGCAGGGACTTCTGTCTGCAAGGGGGGTTGTGATCTGGGGCAGCATCCAAGGTAAGGGATCGGATTACAGTCTCACACACAAACTGGGTCCCACTCAGGTCATCTTCTCCTTCCTCTGTGGAAGCACTGTTCTCAGCTCTCCTCTTTACTGCCCCTGTGGAATCTGAAAGAGACACGAACCATCTCTGCATTTAAGGGTCAAGGAACTGTCTCTAATCCTGAACCCATATAGACAAAATGCCAAGGAATAACTGCTGTGTCTATGTAAAGGTGAAGGGACTTCAAAAAATCAGAAGCTATAGAGAAACCATTCACAGGCAAAGGTACAGCTGCTGTGGGTACATACAAAAATAGGGGTGTGGTATGGAAGAGGAAATACAAATACCTTTACAAATATTTAATCCCTTACCAGGAAGTGCTTTAAATCCTGCCCCTTCACTCTCTTCCTGTATCTGCCCCAAGCCTGGCTTCTCTATTAAAGGACTGTCATGTGGCAGAGGAGACATGCAAGGAGTCATATCTGAAGAAAGAAGATAGGAGAACCATCAACCAAGAAAAAGCTTCACATCATCCATAGTCTGTCTAAAGCAGCAGCATGTAGGCTTCTTGCCTCCCACTGGGCTAACATAAATCTAGCTATGCTTCAAGGCTTGTTGTAAAGAGTTTCTCTAGACCACCAGGTACGTAGTGTCTCAACCAATGCAGGAGGGAGGACAATAAAAACTTCACTTGGGAGACCATGGCCAAGACACAGAACCACAAATGTAAAGGAACAAAGGGAGATGGTCATCTACAGAAAAGTGAAGGGTTTCTCTGTGGTGGGGAAGTCCCACATAAGCTTTTACTGTTGCCTATGAAAGACAAGAGGGAGAGGAAGGAAAATAGACTCCTAGGTGCAGCTTTAATGTCACATTAAAGAGAGCCTTAGCATTTATTTCCTCAGAATGAAATACTACCAGAGTCTAGGCTGCAGCGTTCTTGTGTTTGTTAATGAACAAGGTATACTGAGTGACATTCTTACCCACAGGGGTGTTGTGGGGTACTCTCTCCAACTCTTGGACAATGTTTATATCTAACAGCTCAAAGGACAGCAGATCCTGGAAAAAAGACAGGCTGTGTAAGACTGCTTGCTATGTACAGGTACTATTAGCTGTGTTTTTGTCTTGAGGGAGCTTGCAAGTCACTGAGCTCCACATCATCCAGATGTAACTCTGTTCAAAGCCTTGCCCCACCTCAGTCTAAAAACAAGACATTTAAATGGGAACTAATGATCAAAAATGGGAGGGGTGGGAGGGGAGGGAAGTGCACGGGACTATGGTGATGGCATACAGGTGACTGGGTGATGGGAAACCCATGGGGATTACAATTGCGATGAAAAAAAAAAGTACAAAATGATGTAAAAATAAGCTACTATATTATTAAATAAATAAATAAATAAATAAATAAATAAATAAATAAATAAATGGGAACTAGTTGTTCAAATAACCAAACAGCAGGAAAGAGAGAAAATATGAAGGGTAAAAATAAACCAAATAGGCTGAAATGCAGATGCAGTTAGAAGGACGTTGTGGGTAAGCACGAGACTGAGTTCCTAATTCCAAGAGGAAACATCTAGTTAGGGAAGTTGCTTCCATAGGTGACTTTCTTGCCACTCAGTGGCATGTCTCTTACTTCCTTCCTACCACCGTGGCTGGCTATACCACCTTCTCTTCAACAAGGTAAAATCTCTCCCGTGTTCCATGTCACTTGCCCCTCAAAGTCCTGAATCTTCTACCTGGGCAGTCAGAAGGTCCACGGAGGGAATGTAGAGCTCCCTCTCGCTGGCAGTATTTTTTGTCTTGGGTGGGATGCAGGTTCTTGGCCCTTCCGTCTGCTCAGTTGCTTCACTAAGTTGAATTTCTTCTTTAGCCAAAAGAAAAGTTTCCTGTAGAGACAAAACTCAGGATAAACTTGAGGCCCTCAACAAAATTCAAAAGGCAAGCTGACAACTGCTTCCCTAAAAACAAAATCCAAATATTACTGGGCACTCCTACTGTTTGAAATGTTTCCGTAATAACAACTTAGATTAACCACAGCAATAACAATCAAACCCAAAACATTCATATCGAGTAAATTTAAGCAGTCAACACTAAATATGCACTCCACTAACTCAGGGACATTGCCTTACACACCCCCCCCAAGGGACATTGCCTTACACACACACACACACACACAC